TGTGTGTGTGTCTGTGTGTGTGTGTGTGTGTGTGTGTGTGTGTGTGTGTGTGTGTGTGTGTGTGTGTGTGTGTGTGTGTGTCTTCATCATACCCTTTTATTCAACACATGCCATGTCACTCTGAGAGGATGCTTGCTCAGACACCATCCAGAAATAACCCTTCCCACCCACGCACACACACCCGCACACTCATACAGCCGCTTAAGCGAGGAGGGGGTTCAACATGAAGTGGGCCCCGGGTAGCGGTGGGTCTACTTTAAAGAATGTCACTGGGTTTATTGTCTTTTTGTGCTTCCTCAGTCATTCATTATGCTGTAAATTGGCCGATTGACATCTCTACACACGTGTCAGGATTGTTAGCAGTATCCTACAGAACTTGCTGATGAGCTCATTGTTTGAATCTTTGAATCAGTTTTTTTTTTTTTTTTTTTGGAAGAGGGAACCATCAAAAAGCATGCCGAATAGTGGCCCTCGAGGACCAGAGTTTGGCACCTGTGCTCTAAAAACTCGTAGATCAGGTCACCAAGGCACCACACTGTGTATATTTTTGGAGCGGACGCCATCAAACTATTTTCTTAAGTGGGGCCATGGATGGGATTATTTTCCATATTTGAATGTGTGCCGTTGTCTTTAATGTGCTTGACTTAACCTTTCTCTATTCTTTTTTTTTAACGTTTTGTCATCCGCAGAGGTTGACAAAAGGAACATGACTATCTGAGAAGCTACAGGAGGTAGGTAGAAGTAAAATGTTTTCAAAAAATAAATAAATATTTGAAGTACTGACATGTGAGAATTTTAATTAAGTACAGTGAGATTTTTTACTTTGTTACTTCCCACCACTTGTAGATACATGTAGGAGTTTTTCATACGGAAATGTATGAAAGCATTTGTGACCGACTGTTTACTCTTATCACAAGCGGATAACCTTTTACAAAGTTTTATGTTTTTGTTCTTATATGTTTCGGATTTTTCTGTTCTTTTCGGAAACATTTATTTTGGTGCTGTAGTCTGCAAATTTCCACAGTGTGGGACAAATAAAAAAGGTTATCTTAATGAAAATGTGAATTAAAAGTTGAGCTGGATTCTTTTTTTTTTTTTTTAACCAAAGCAACTATATTGTGTATAATTGACAGTGACAGCATACTTTTTTTAAATACATAAATGTATTTAAGTAGTACAGTGTGACTACTTTGCCACTTCGGAATTAGATGAAATTGGTCCCTGCAACCGGAAGTGGCTCCGCGCAGGGCGGATGTGGACGTGGCATACCGCTGCAGCACTTCCGCTGAATGTCCGCTTCTCACCCCAAGAAGGGATTAGGGAGAAACACACGGGAACGACATCCATTTTTCCTTTAGCCCCCCTGTCGCTTAGCCGATTTACGGTTCGCCACGAGCACAGGGACGCCTTACTTTTCACAATACTCCGGAGGTAGGTTTTGATGTGAAAAAACGCTCAAACATGAGCGTGACTTCCACGTCCGGCTTTTTTTGGGCCATGTTAGAATGCTAATGCTAATTAGCGTGGCTAAAGTAGCTATGGTGTAAGCAATTGGATGTCACTTAGCTTTAGCTAGCGTGCTAGTCCGCTAGCTACGGTGGTGATATGCAGACAGCTGATTGAAACACCGCTGTCATCGGCGACTTGGCCGACACTCAAAAGTTAGCCGCCCACTCTCCGGGCCGCATTACTTTGGACTTTTGTTGAGTCAACAGTGTTGTACTTTGTCCTAGGTCGTCGCCAGTAAAGGTATTGTGTGATATCTTGTGTTTGTTGTGGCTATGGTTCGGTCACGTTAGCCCGGCTAGAGAGTTAGCAATGCGGCAGTTAAACCAGGACGCTGCCTACCCTGGGTAGCGTTATCGATTAACTCCAAACTGGATTTACTTTTTCGGCCACTTCACTTGACAACGATTTAATACGGCCCAGTCGAGTAATTTTTAATTCAACACAGCCTCAAGTGTCGCAATCGTGTGTCAATCGCGACAGGCCCCGACACGATAAAACGAGCATCGCGGCGATTGTGTTTCTCGTCGAAGTTGAATTATTTAAAACTGCGCTCGTTTCTCCTCTGTTTGTCTTGATAGATGATACTCTGTTGTAAAAGTTAGGCCTTCAGTTAAAAGGCCTAAATGTCTGCCACTTGAGTCCATTTGTTTGCTGAGTGACTAACATTGAATCTAGTGTAATGAACATTGCCATAAAGTTACCCATCGCTTTCTTCCGGGACAAATGGACTCATTTAAATTTCACAAAAAATAGTCAATATTCTATTGAGTAACCTCATGATCAATTGTCTGTATTAGGTTGAATAAAGTATAGTGAACCATTGGTTAGCACATCTGTCTCGGTGCCATGTTCGTGGTTCGATTATTGGCTCCATCATACATGGTAGGTTCGCTGAACTTATAATATGCAGTTGTGTGCAATATTGTGTTTCAGATGCCTTATATAATTTCCTAATTGATGCATGATCTGTTAGGGGTAATGTAGTAAGTATCGACAAACATGGACACTATTGGAGTTAATGAAATAAAATATTAAACACTTTTTGGATGATAAAACCCTCCAGATACTATTGCCTAACGGACAGAAATGCTGCTGCCATTGTTTTCTCTCTCTCTCTCTCTCTCTCTCTCTCTCTCTCTCTCTCTAATTTTAATAATTGCACATCTTACTGGTGCAGCTCTTGTATACACGACTTGTATTCAAACATGATGCCACTGTGGTTTTGTTTGGCCTGCAAATATGAATGGCATGCAGTGTAATGGAAATTTGAATTCCCATTACAGCAGTTTAGGGTGTGTATTCGAGTCAAAGCAAATAAAGGTGCTGTCACTAAACTTGTAAATATGAGCATCTTATGCTCTTCGGTGTGGAGATGGTTAAACAGTGTCTTATAACTGCTATCTATTTAGTGCCAAACAGTTCATGATATCCCCATGTCGTTCAGATTTCGGGATGAACTGAAGATGAATGTAAACCAGCACACTCCCATGGCCTCTCCTTATGGCCAGCCTCAGCCTGGTTACGGGCAGCCCGCCTTTGCACCCTTGGACACCGGCTACCCGCCTCCCTACGCACCTTACAACGGCCCTGTGTCAGCCTACCAGACTGGAGAGCCACCACAAGGTAAAACTCGACACACACGTGGCTAGATTTGATATTTGTAGAGGTGTGGGCCACACAGAAAATTAAATCAAAAGAGTTACGATTATAATTTTATGAGGAGAAAGAAAGTCCAAATGTCAGATATGTTTTAATTTCAAGATGAAAAAAAAATCATTGTTGGATGAATAAAGCGAATGATTAATTATGATGCATGGTTACGGTTTTACGCTTTCACACCTGTCAACTTTGTTCCCCGGGTCTCCCACGACACTAATCACAGTCTGAGCTGCCTTGACGTGACTTGATACTTTCACCCTATCGTGTCCTCCTCCCATGATCAAACTTTTCCCCATCTTTCCTCGCTTGCATTTCAGGTTATTCATCTTTCACCACCTTCCCCTCTAAGGCTGCGCCAGCCAACCCCATCTCAGAGCTCTCCTCTCCCCTTGACCTAGGTAACGCATTCCTCTGCTTCCTTTCACTTTGCCATCATCCAATCCTCTCCGTAACTGCAGGCGCTTGTTTTTCCCATAATTCGCTCCACAGTAGCAGACTTAAGGGTCATCCCCACCCCTTTTTTGTTTGTTTTTTGGGTGAATTGAATTTATACCCATCTTTCAGGTCACGGAAGGGCTCCTCCCACTTCAGGGCCACCGCCGGTATCGGCCCCTCAAGCGTACAATCAGTATGGGGGTCGGCATCAGAGCGACATGCAGAATGGCCCCCCACCTATGACACAGGCACCCCCAAGGTGCTGGAGCAGAGTCTATTCTCTCAATTCGCTCGTCTTTATGAAAAAAGGTGATCATGTTCTATTATGTTTTGTGTTATTTGCAGGCCAGTTGTGTCCCAGTCATACAACCAAGAAAGGGTCAATCTGTCGGGCCCACCCTCTTCTTACCCCCAACACTATGGATCCCCACCCGCAATGTCACACGTCACCAGCCAAATGAGCGGCATGCAGATTAACTCAGGGCTGCCGAACACCGCCGGGCCCGGATATGGTACAAATGCATCCAACAACAATCCGGGTGGAACGATGTAGTTTCCCTCGCGTGCAAAGAAAACTGAACGGTCTTTGTTGATTGACGCATGTTGCCGTGTGTGTCTCCTCAGCACCACCTCACAGCTCCAAGCCTCCCGTCAGTAATTCCTTCTCAGCCGCACCTCCCGCCACCTACACGCAAGCTCTGCCCCCAGCGTTGTCCGCGCCCACTCAGGCGCCGCCTACTGCTTCTCAACAGTACTACGGAGGCCCCCCTCCTGCCTCCCAGCCGCCATTCAATTCGTCTCTGCCTCCGACTTCTCAGCAGCCTTTCACCTCCCCCGCTCCTCTTCCCCCATCCAATCAGCCATCCTTTGCTCCTCCTCCCTCGTATTCGGGACCCCCGCCGGCTCAGGCTCCCTCCCCGTCGATGTCACAACCTCAACAGTCCTTCCCCCCCACTCAGTCTGCCTTCTCCTCAGCCCCTCAGGGCTCTTTCCCTCCAAGAGCGCCCCCTCCCACCTCCTCGCAGTATCCTCCTCCTCCGACGTCAACCCCTTCCGGGCAGTACCCAGGCCCCTTGCCGCCTCAGCAGCAACCCCCTTTCTCCTCAGGTCCCTTTCCTTCCAGACCCCAAATGCCTCCGACGTCTATGTCTCAGAGCAACCACTTGCCTCCAGAATCACAGGGCCCGCTAGGCCCTCCTGGACCACTGCAGCAAATGCCCCCACCCCAGCATGCTATGCCAGGAGGGTACCCTCCCCAACAGAACGGTGAGCCAATTGAATGAAAGACGCTGTAGCGACACGCAGTTCATTTCGTCAGCTGCTGAGAATCAGGCATCTTTTTGATGTTATTTTTTCCACTCCCGTCGAAATATTTTTTCTTTGGGTTGGGGGGGATAGTATGTGCATGCAGCCAATCTACAAATAATTTCTGAATGTTGTGTAGCAGCGTTCCTCCTGGAATGCTCCATATGAACTTCAGCTGTTCAGATGCCATGCCTGCTTTGAGGTGCATTCAAGACGTTAATGGCAACACGTGTTCATATCGGTCAGAGTCAAGTGAATTACCACTACCTTTTATTTCCTGAAGTTTACCGAGGCATGGCGCTTATTTGTGGACAACACTACACATGTATACTGTGCGCTAGTTCTTATCTGTTTTCTTTGTTTGTCTCTTCAGGTGCATTTGGGCAGGTAAGAGGGCCTCAGCCCGGCTTCACAGCCCCTTATCCTGCCCAACCGAATTACGGCGCTCTGGGACCAGCACCGGGCCCTGCCCCATCGACACAGAAAAGACTGGACCCAGATGCCATTCCTAGCCCTGTAAGAAGCTACAAAACACTTTTCACATCCTGCCACTGTTTTATTTCTCTGTACTTGCGCATGTTCAACAGTAGCAATAATCTTTTAACAGCTCTACTGACCAATGTATAAAAATAACAATTCTTGCAACATCTCACTGTCTTTTCACACTGCTGCTCCTTTTTTTTTTGTCTTTCAATCTATGGTGTTGATTAATTGTTGTCCTGTTTTGCACAATGTTGCCGGACAAACTTTTTGAATGTAAAGCAAGCGTCTGACATGCCGACCGTGCAGAAATCAAGACATAGAATAGACCCAGACGCTATCCCCAGCCCAGTAAGTGTCCTCGTGTGGCTCTTCCTCTTGTCCCAGTGCTGGCTTTCCCAACGCATCCCCACCACCGCTTGACCTTGCACCGCCAGTTACAAGCCACTTTTTGCTTTTCGTGTTTTGGATCTCTTTGTGTTCACAAATGATTTTATTTTTAGGGACTGATCAGTTTTCTGAACCACCCTCTCCCCACTTACTCTCCATTCGCTGCATGTTAGTCTTCACTTGCATGCCCGCAGAATCCACCCTCTTTCCTGGGGATGTAATTTTGTTTGTCGTGTCAACATTATTAAGTGTGTGTGTTAAAAAGCTGAGCGTCTGAGGATGTGTGTGTGAAAGGGATAGGGAGAGGATAGGAGTGAATGAGTTAGAGGCAGAATATGTGAGTGTTTCATAGAGGTAATGTAAGAGGGCCTCAGTGTGTGTGAGTGAGAGAGAAGCGTCAACCAATTGCTCTTCAGAGAGTCTGTTTTTTGTCAAACCTCAAAGCAGGTCCCGACTAGGGACCTAAGCCTACCTCTTGCTATTAAATTGCTCACTGAGAACAGAGAGGAGTGAATGTTTTTGTCTGTGAAAAGAGTGAATGTGTTTGTGTTGGGGACAGCGTGTATTTATGATCGAGAATAGTCAGTGTGGCATGTTTGTTCAAAGTTGCCGTTGTGTGTTTCGTACTTTTTTTTTTCTCCTTCAACCTTCGTATCCATCTTGCAGATCCAAGTAATCGAGGATGACAAGGCCAAGAGCACTGAGCCGTTCAGCACAGGCGTCAGGGGTCAAGCGCCGCCACTGGTCACCACAGACTTCCACGTCAAAGACCAAGGTGAGGCCTCCAGCATCCCCTGAGCTTGCCGTCACTCAAAAGATGTCATCCATCATTTTTCACGTTTGCATGTTTGTAGGGAATGCCAGCCCCAGGTTTATTCGCTGTACAGCCTACAACATTCCCTGCACGGCAGATATGGCCAAGCAGTCTCAGGTGCCGTTGGCTGCCGTCATCAAGCCGCTCGCCACGCTGCCGGCGGATGAGGTCAGCCATCCTCTCTCCTCTGTCCATGCTTACCAATTGGCTAAAGGAGTGGGATTCATGTTTTTTGTGCACGTAAAAAACAAAACGTGAATGTGTTTTATGAGCACAATTGTTTGATTATATGCAGACGCCGCCATACCTGGTGGACCACGGCGAAGGAGGTCCCATCCGTTGCAACCGCTGCAAGGCCTACATGTGTCCGTACATGCAATTTATTGAGGGAGGCCGTCGCTTCCAATGCGGCTTTTGCTCTTGTGTCACAGAAGGTGAGTTGGTGCGTGTTGTTGGGTTTAATTCAGGCTCATGATGTTCTTTGGGTGTATGTATGTGTGCTTGTCCAGTTCCTCCTCATTACTTCCAGCATCTGGACCACACTGGGAAAAGAGTGGACTTCTATGACAGACCGGAGCTTTCGCTGGGCAGCTACGAGTTCCTGGCTACCGTCGACTACTGTAAAGTGAGTCCTTTCTAGTCTTGCGACATCCTCAAATACATAACAAGTCACTCACGTAGCTCTTTTGTTTCTAGAACAACAAGATCCCTCAGCCTCCAGCCTTCATTTTCCTCATTGACGTGTCCTACAACGCCGTCAAGAGCGGCATGGTCGGCATCGTCTGCCAAGAACTCAAGGCGCTCCTGGACCGGCTGCCCAGGTAGGTCCTCATGAATGAATAGAGAGTGGAATACAGTGAACCTGAGGAAAATCACGTCTTTTTTTTTCTTGGCAAAGTTAAGAAGCCAGAATGCAACACAGCTTTCTCTCTTTAGAAAACCAGAAAGGACACACATTATGGCCTTATTCATTTAATATCCCTTCACATCTAAACAAACTAAATTTGAGGCTACAGGCCAAGGACAATTCAATTTGTCGACCCGATGACAGCTCTGCACTCTGATCAGAGGAAATTTGAGGTGTTCCAGGAATGCTTCCCAGCAGTGCAGGAACAGGTCCAGGGAAAGCAAAGCCCTTTTCTTTGTTGTTGACTTTATTTAAGCTGACCTTTCCACTTTCTGGCTCCGAATGGTTGCTGAGACAACTTTTCCAGGGAAGGTTGCATGTTTGGCTCCATACACAACTGCAAGGCAGATTTCTCCACAACCAACATAATCGAAATTAAATATCGATCCAGACTCCAAAGATGTGCCCTTCCACATGTGTAGGAGAGTCGCCCTGACTCTATCCAAGCTGAGGTTTAAAATCCTGTCTATATGCAGATACTTCACTTTAGATCACACCAAATAGACATTAGGATCTTTCAAACCTTTTGGTTGTGAAATTTCCTGCGATTCATTTGACTAATTTTTTTAAAGAAATAGTCAATTGAAACAAATGTTTTTCAAACACAAACAATACAGCCACAAAACCCTTTCGACGTGTGATTTGAAGATCAGAGAAAAATACGTTTTGTTTCAGCAAGAGTCACAGTCTCATTGTTGTCTTCTCCAGAGAGAACCCAGACTTGGACTCGACGGTGCGAGTAGGTTTCGTTACCTACAACAAGGTGCTCCACTTCTACAACGTCAAGTCCAGCCTGGCCCAACCTCAGATGCTGGTGGTCTCGGACGTGTCGGAAATGTTCGTGCCACTGCTGGACGGTTTCCTCGTCAATGTTGGGGAGAGCCGGCAGGTCATCGAGAGGTGGGTGAGACGTACAAACTGCGGGTTTCCGCCAAGCGGTACGGTTCACGGTATGGTTTAGAGTTTATTCCAATTTTAATGAAAAAAGAAGGGGTCATCCATTTTCTATGTTTTGCAGTTTGCTCGACCACATCCCGGAGATGTTTGCAAACACCCGAGAGACGGAGACCGTCTTTGGACCCGTCATACAGGCCGGACTGGAGGCGCTCAAGGTAATTTCTGCCGGTCCAAGTGTTGGGGGGGGTCGCTGCTGTGAGAGTGTAAAACTGGAAGATGTTCCTCAGGCAGCAGATTGCGCAGGGAAGCTGTTTGTCTTCCACACTTCGCTGCCCATTGCCGAGGCCCCCGGAAAATTGAAGAACAGAGAAGATAAAAAGTTGATTGGAACTGATAAGGAGAAGGTAAGAAGTCCAGGATTTCCATTACATATATAAATGCATCGAGATACCATGAAATGAAATGTTGACGGACACGCAACCATCTGAATCTTTGTAAATGTTGGTGGCCTCTCCAGTCTCTGTTTCAGCCTCAAGTGAGTTTTTACAACACGCTGGCCAAAGAATGCGTGGCACAGGGATGCTGCGTGGATCTCTTCCTCTTCCCCAACCAGTATGTGGATGTGGCGACGCTCGCCGTGGTCCCCGTCTCCACTGGAGGCTCGGTCTACAAGTACACTTACTTCCAGGTCAGACATTCTTCAGGCTTCATCCTGAACTGTTTCCTTATTATCCTTCTGCAAGTGTCCGTCAATTGCTGCTTGCAACGTTAACTGACAATTTCTATCTTTCCAGGCGCAGTCGGACCAGGAGAGGTTCCTGAATGACTTGAGACGAGACGTTCAGAAGCCGATTGGCTTCGATGCTGTCATGAGGGTTCGAACCAGCACTGGTAAGTCTCTTGTTGTTCACAGAAAGATTTCACTATTTCAGGGCGATAGTGACCGAGCCCTCCCGAGAATAATAAATCTGTGCATTAGGAATACGAGCGACAGACTTCTTCGGCTCGTTCTTCATGAGCAACACTACCGACGTGGAGCTTGCCGGGCTTGACTGCGACAAGGCGGTCACGGTGGAGTTCAAGCACGACGACAAGCTCAGCGAGGAGACCGGGGCGCTCGTGCAGGCGAGTTCGAATTCTTCCAGTGAAGCCGGTCGTTGTTTCTTTCAGTCTAAACTCGATTGCTTGGGCCCCCTGCAGTGCGCCGTGTTGTACACCAGCTGCGGCGGCCAAAGGCGCCTGCGTGTCCACAACATGGCCGTCAACTGCTGCTCCCAGCTGTCCGACCTGTACCGCAATTGCGAGACGGACACAATCATCAACTTCCTCTCCAAATATGGTGAGCTCCTACACTCTCACTGGGGCATTTGTTTTTTTCTTATTTTTTGCAGGCGTCACATTGTGTTTTTCTTTTTCCCCCACAGCTTTCCGTGGCATCTTGAACAACCCCACGAAGGCGGTGAGGGACACGCTTGTCAACCAGTGCGCTCAGATCCTGGCCTGCTATCGCAAGAACTGCGCCAGCCCCTCGTCGGCTGGTCAGGTATGACCCTAAAATCTCCACCATGAACAAAGAAACGCACAGTCAATATGAATCTGAACTATTATTAAACAATGAAAATGAACCTACACCCTCTACACCAGCAATGTTTTATTGAATTTTTGTCTTTTCCAGTTGATCCTCCCCGAGTGCATGAAGCTGCTGCCCGTCTACCTTAATTGCGTGCTGAAGAGCGACGTGCTGCTGCCCGCCGCCGACGTGTCGTTGGACGACAGGGCCTACTTACGACAGCTCATCAGCGGCATGGACGTGTCGGAGACGCACGTCTTCTTCTACCCGCGCCTGCTGCCGCTGGTACGCCCCTTGATAATATCGATGCTTGGTGGGCAGGAATGAGAAGAACCTAACAAGAGTTTCCAGCCTGCTTGAAGAATAAATAAATGATGAGCGCGGTCTGGACGTTCTTTTTTTTTCATAGATGAAGCTGGAGAGCGGCTCATTGCCGGTGGCGGTGCGGGCGTCGGAGGAGAGGCTATCCAAAGGCGGTGTGTACCTGCTGGAGACGGGCCTGCACCTCTTCCTGTGGGTGGGGGCCAACGCGCAGCAGGAGCTGCTGCTCAACATTTTCGGGACGTCCAGTTTCGGCCAGATCGACACGACAATGGTGAGAAGATGCCGGTCAAGGCCGCTGTTTTCATTTTGAGTGTTTCTCTCTTAGAGTACACTGGTTTCCCTTCCGATTGGTAAACTGCACAGGTGTCGAAATGCGCAGTCTCGTGAAATGAGTTTTTGGCGGTCCCGGTCAAACTGTATCTCGATATATTTGCTGTGCGATTTATTAATTTTTTTTAATTGAATGTTTCAGACGTCTCTGCCTGTTTTGGATAATCCTTTCTCACAAAGACTCAGAGACATGATCGACTCCTTCAGAGCCCAGCGGTCACGATACATGAAGGTAAACAGATGCTGCCTTCGTTGTTCATTTCTGTCTTGCACAATATTACTCGAGTTAGAACCGAAGCATGTGGCACCTTATTATTCATCCAAAGCCAGGAAGTCCTGACCATTTTAGGATTGATTTTTGTCATGGCTCACTGGAACCGTGTTGCGGAATTTCCCTGTTGTATCATTTTTGCGAGGTCAAAGTCCACAATTTATTATTAATTGTTACTTGCTGCATTCCCCCGCCCAACCGCAACCCACCCCTGCTTTCTTCTCTGCTGTCGCAGCTGATGTTAGTGAAGCAGGAGGACCGCTCGGAGCTCATATTCCGACACTTCCTGATGGAGGACAAGAACGTGAGTGGCGGCGCGTCCTACGTGGACTTCCTGTGTCACATGCACAAGGAAATCCGCCAGCTCCTCAGCTAGACGCTGCCGCCACCATCTTCTCCTTCCCTCCTCTTTCTCCTCCTTCCTGTTTTTTTTTTTTAACTGAATAAACTCCTCATTGTGGAGCGCCGCAGCTGGCAGATTACATCGTGTGTGTGTGTGAGGAAATGTGTGTGGGTGTGAGATAATCTGATGTTAATAGAGCTTCACTCCGCCTCAAATTGACTGCGGGGGAGGAGGATGAGGAGGGAAGGTGATGTATGTATATGTATACACACACACACACACACACACACACACACACACACACACTGAAGAAAAATGTATGCAACAAGACTGTATGTATTGATTGACTAGCACTGACTAAAGGCTGTTTAAAGCACCCTTTCCCATACATGGCTTTTTATATAGAATCCAATCCCGTTATATCGGAAGTCTCCATAATAGCAAGACACCAGTGGAATCAAATAAATGCTGTAACCTGATCTCCGCCGCCCCCCTTTTAATCATTGCCTTATAGCGAGCCGCTTCCTCTGTTTGTGTGCGTGTCTGTCACTGTATTGAAAAATAAGTTCACGTCAGCGTCTCAATGGCTTTTTGCTTTTCATTCGGCACGCATTTAATCCCAAAATTTTACGATGGTTCATAATTCTCGTTTTGACTAACCCATAAACGCCACAGTTAAAATGTTAAGTCTTTAAATACCACCAAAATCGAGCATTATCTCTAATAATTGTGGTTTCGAGGCGTACCTCATGCCGTGTCTTCGCTTTTCCAGACTTAATTAGAATTTTCAATTGACACGCAGAGGTTTCATGACGACCGCTGTGTTTGAGTGTACCCAATGAAAAGTCCCCTCTTTGATAGCCAGCGCTCGTTTAATTATGCCACAGGAGAAGCATGACCTTATGTAAACACCCTTGTGTTGGATCGAATGAGCTTGTGCGGGAGTACCTAATGAAGTGTCCTCGATAATGTGATAATTAGAGTATTGCTCATCGAATAATGCCACAAAAAAACGCATTGTCTTTTGTACGGTTCCCTTGGGTTAGGCTCCATGATGTGTGCCCAATGGAATTTCTCAATTTGAAACTCGGAGGCAACCTCTCAACGTTAACGTTTCATAATGCCACCAAAACGAGCCTTTTCTTTTGTAAAGCCCCCTTGTTTGATTGTACATTGGTGTATCAACTGAGGTGTCCACTTGGCACATGGAGGCAAGCGCAATAATTAGCATATTTTCATTTAATAATGCTATGAAAAAAAAAACTAAGCCTTGTATTTACGGTAGGTCCCATTAGAGGTGTACCAAATGAAGAGTCCTCATTTCATGTGAGGAAGTGTACAGGTGCGGGGCCGTCCTGCGCTCTAATTTCTGCACGGCATGATTAAAGCGGACGAATGGACCCGTGCCGAACAGTCTATGTTTATATATAAATATCTCAAATATATATAATCTGTACAGAATTCATAGAGAAAAAGGCTTCTAATCCAAATGTGATGGGTTTTTGTTTTTTTTTTTGGCCATCGCAAATATAAAAATTGTGGCTTTTACTAATGAACGGGCGTCAATGTCAAGACTGACTTCTTTTGATGAGTGAGCGCATGCGTGTGTCGGTCCTAGTGAACTTTCTCTTGAGGAACAGAGGGACCCGCTAACAAACCCACCAAATTCAAGTCAAAATCACTGATTGTTCCTTTTCAAAAATATGTATAAATGCGTTTGGTGTGTGTGTGAAGCCCTTTGTTCTGTTGACTTGATTGAGCCACCGTCTTCACTGTAATCTTCATTGTTTTTGTTCCTTTTTCTGTTTTCTCCTTTATCATTGCTCTTGGGACTGCAAATAAAAAAAAATGCTTGTTTCAAAAGTGAAATTCAACGCTAGTCTTCCCAAGTTGGCTTCATTCGGAGCACCGTACATGGCCACCAACTTCAAATGGATGTGTCATCAAGCCATAGAACCGAGGCATTTTTCTCCCAAAACAATGTCATCATAATCCATTTGAATTATAAATAATCCGAAAAAAAATTTAATCTGCAACTAACTCCACACACTAAATTAAATGTCAAATGTATGGTTGCAGGAATATATTAAAAGAATCAATTTAATGTAATTAATAAATTAAAAAGTTGTATAGCAAAAAACAAGCAAACATCCTATTGTCCCCCCTCCCCAAATCCCTAAGAAAATAATAGAAAGAAATTTTAAAAAATTATAAATAGCTTAAATTTTCGACATACTACATTTTTGTAAATGTTTAAAATAAATGACTTCATTTCCCCAGGCAATCAGCAAAAAAATGTACTTTTTAAAATCTGTATTTACACTCATTGTTTTTTTTTTGGTTTTTTTTTAAATAAAACTGAATTATAAGGCAATAGAACCGTGATTTCCTCCTGCTATTCAGCAAGAAAAGTCTAAACGAATTCATCTCAGTATTTAATCATAATCATGGCCACAGTTTTCAGTCACTTGATTTTAAATGTCATATTTTTACAATCATTTAGAAATAAGACTCATAAAAATGAATCAACTATTTCCTCATGTCTAGTGCTAAAATATATATGTATACAAGTCTCTGTTGCGAGTACCCCCATTAGGTTTTCCAGTTTCATTTTCCTCCACTGAGAAGCTAAAACAAACCTTGCAGCGTATTGCCACATTTCAAAGCGCACCCTGATACTGTCCTCTTAAATAATGCATCCGGGATGGAATTTCCCCTCAAATGAGTCGTTCAAACTTGCACTTGGCAAAAGACCCAAGCCAACTAAGCCGCAGCAACAGGAAATAAAGAAATCACTTAAACCCTTCTTGGTTCAGTTAAAAAAAAAAAAAAAAAAGTGGATTAGTTTTGACCCTCCCGCAGCCGAGAGAGAGTATTTACGGTGCATCTGTCAGGTTGTTGTTTCAGCTCGCTGAGCGTGCCCGACATTGGTCAGGATTTGACTGCACGCCACAGTTATGTGCGTGTGTCTCCAGTCATTTTCAATCTTTTTAAAGTAGACATTGTACATTCCCCCTCCCCCTTTCACAATTTAAAACCGTTTTCACCTGTCATAAGATTGTCACATCAAAATACCCCAAGGATTCAAAAAAAAGACATTTTTACAGTATATTCATGGTCATGGTGAAATTCAAGCAAGTAGCAATTAAATTGCATTCTGACTGCAGAATTTCATCACCAAGAAACATGCAGATAAAAATTTACTGAGTTGTTTAATTACAACACTTGATGAGTAGGCATGGAGTACAGACACAACGATTTGTATACAAAACATTAAAACGTCAATTTTCCAGAATAAATGGGGGGAGAAACATTAAAAGCAGGATTGTGCTGCATCAGCAGAAAAACCACTTGAGGTCAGCAAAAGCACACTTTTTCATTGTGTTGGTAAATCACTCCCAACTTCCTAAATGGCATTTTTAAATCAATATATATTTTTGAAGCTATCTTAATGTAGTCACTCAGTGAGAAGCAGGCTCGTTATGTATGTGCTTAAATGTATTTTTTTCCTCTGCAGTTGCGACCGTTCAACAGAGGAAGGACAGGCCAAAATTATTAGGATAAATTCCAGATGGAGATGTGTCCCATTACTTTTGGACAAACTACTTTAATGAGATTCTCCCAAAGGATGTGGACTTTATGTATGGGTGTAACGTGTCTCAATACTTTTGCCCACTCATTTTATTCGACTCAGAACACAGTCTGTGGACTAAACTGATCGGGACCCATGTTCACTGTCGAAGTGATTCTCAACCAGTGTGCTGTGAGACCTCAAACGTGCCGCGGCAAATGATCAAAATTTCACCTAATTAATGATAAAATGATTTAACAAATAATATCCCTCTATCTATGCCAATCACTTATAGTGACAAAACAAATAAATGATCTTAGATGGCAAAAGGTATGACATTGATGTATGTATCTTATGTCTTCAAACGAGTGCATCTCAAGGAAAAGAAAACAAGAGGGGGGGGGGTTGGGAGGGGGGCAAAGGAAGTGTGTCATTACTCAGCCCCGTGGCCCCATCCACCCTCTCATCATCATCTAGTGATGATGTAACACACGCACAGCGTCGTGGTCACTACTAGTCTCAATATTTTATTTTAAAAAAGTACAAAAGATGCAACGGTAATGATAATAAAACCAAATGCTGTCTTGATCATGACGCTGCGCTTCGCAAAGATCCCTTTGCTTTTCATTTCGACGCCTCTTCTTGTGGCTAATAATAGCTGTGGACTACACACACACACACACACACACACACAGTGGAGTACTTATATGATTCATCAAACGATCAGTTGCCAGGAAAAAAAAAAGCCCAAAACGCTGTTACGCTTGCTCATTTTCAAATGTCTCATGTATTAATGCGCTTACTGTTGCATATGCAGTCATGCTATGTAGAAAAAAATGTGTACGACTACTGAGAAAAGATAAGTGAAGAAGTGGGTGTGTTGAATAATGTCTGTTACTTCAGTACCACGGACAGCTCCGGGGATATATTGAGAGACAATTGCAGAAAACACCCGAATGACGACGTTCGCTTTCGAAAATGGATGCATCGTTAAACAAAAATACCAATAATCACTCTTGTACTTGTCTGATGAGTTTGACTGTAATGTGCAAATTTCGTACTTTGCGTCGTTATTTGAACGCGACATGCGAGCTTCCGATTCCGGCTCAACACTGAAAAAGACCATAATGCTTTTTTTTTTCTCGAGGAAGAGCAAAATGCGCAGTTTTTTTCGAGTCTGTCAGCGTGGGAACACGCACAAAAAAAAATCCGCAACACGGAAAAGTTCAAATATGAAGAAGTGGTATCTGCATGCGCGGCGTTGTGTGCGCGATGAATAAAAGAAGGCCGACGCACTCGCGCGTGTGTGCGTGAAGACAAATGAGCCGCGCGCGGAAAAACGTAGGCTGCTGGCCCCGCTCTTGCCCTCCTTTTCCTACGTGCGCACCCTCTCCAAAAAGCCAAGGGGGGAGAGGATTTGGTAACTAGAGCCAAAATGGACGCCACGTGTCTCACTAGGCTGCTTAGAAGACTTCTTATTCAATTCTGGTAACATTTTAGGACAAGGGAACCATATTTGGTCACTTGTGCCAAAATGGATGCCAGTCAACACTCTAGTAAATAGTAAAACCCTGTGATTCATGTGATTTGGACCCGAGGAAGACCTTAAAATTAATTTTGATAGCGTTTGTGCTGGGCATGGGTGTGTGCGTGTAGTCCACGGTTGTAGAACCTCTATTCTCACAGTCAAGGGAACCGTATCAGATGTCACACATCTCATAAGGCCGTAAAACCATGTGATGCAAAGCCTAGAAAGACCTTAAATTCAATTTTGGTTTTACATAGGATAAGGGAACCATATTTGGTAACTGAAGCCATAATGGATGCCACATACTCAATAAAAGACAGTGGAGACTAGAAAGACATGTTCAATTTTGCTATCCTTTTTTTAAAAAAAAAATATAGGTTAAATGCAACTACACAGCCGCAGGAACCATATTACATTCACATAGCTCGTTGATAAAAGGCAATGAACTATATTTGGTAACCAAAGCCAAAATGGACACAACATGACACACTACAAGGCAATGAACCATGTAATGTGTGGGGCATGGAGGACCTCATCCAGTTTTGGTAGCATTTTCATAGCAAGGGATTTTGGTAACTGGAGCCAAAATGGATGTCCGACACCCCATATTTCCTCTTCTTTTTTTTTTGCAGAGAAGGGTCTAAACATGTCCCAGCTTTCTGGAAGGCATTGTCATGCCTTCCAGAGCTCCACGGCCCCCACCCGGCCTAGCCTGCAATGGCCTCACGGCACATTAAACATTTAGCAAGGCACTCTGGAAGTGTCCATTGCCGTCTTTTAGAAGCTAACAGTGGTGCAGTCCCTCTCTGTGTTGCTAACACTAGCTAGCTAGCCCATAACTCCCCTGCCCTTCCCTTCGCCCCACAACCACCCCCTCCCTGACTGACACACAACCATATGCAAAAGCAAAATCATTGGCTCGGAAAGGCCAACTATGTTCAGAGCAAGACCTGCATTAATCAATATTGATCCATGCTGTGTGTATCTCTATCTGCCGATACTTATGCAATGTGTGGGTGTGTGAGTGTGTGTTTGAGCGACCAGCCGCCTTGCTGCCGCAGTCAAGTGTTACAAAGGCACCATAGCATGGCGAGTTGTATTGTACCTTTAAAAATGCTGGTTGAGATCCACAATTTATCATAGCAGTCCAAGGAACAACACGCAGGAGTTAACATGATTGTGAGGGCCTGTCTCTCAGCATTCAAACATTTTGACAGATTTTAAATAGCGTGAATGCTTGTCTGCCATTTTTCCACTATTTTAACGTGCATTATCATTGCTGTGAATACTTATCTCTCAGCCTGTAACATTCAACATTAGTGTTGATGCTTGTCTTTCAGCATTCAAACCCATATTGGTAATACTATGACTAATTGTCTCTTACCATTCAACTATTTCAACATGGATTCACATGACCATTTTACCACACATTTTAGTGTGAATGCTTGTCGCGCATTCAACTAGTCGGAGGCTACTATGAATGCTTGTCTCTCAGCATTCAACTATTTTAACACATATTAGTAATAATGAGAATACCTGTCCCAACATGGAATCATTTTAAAATAGTGTGAATGATTGTCTCTCAGCATTGAATCCACCCTAGTAATGTTGGGAATCATTGCCTCTCACTATCCAGACAGATGTTGATTTAACATCACTGTGAACGTTTGTCTCTCTGTAATCCCATAAGAAAATATTTGTGATGTTAGCATGAGGTGAAATGAGATTAGATTAATTAGATTCTCGGCATTTATAAAGCAAAGTACACATGTTCA